CATCTTTAGCTGGAAGTTACTGTCTGACGTGCACCAGCTCGGCATACACACTCCCCTAGCTCCTGGCGTTGTGAGGTGCAACAGGATAGCGTTAAAAAAAAGCTTACTTAGGCTGCTTTTAGCAGTGAAAACTCCACTTCTTCCTCCACCTCCACTAGTGCCACGACTAGATTTCCTGCTTGCACATCAGGAGTCCTGTACTTCCTGGCAAGTTTGAATCTGCTGCAGTGTGTTCTGTTTTACTGCCTGTTTGCATTGTGTATGTAATGAGCAACCTGTGTATCTATGAAGCCATAGGGTTCCTGGGCATACGCAGTCATTCATCCAACAGCCTGCTCCTTCTTCAGCTGATGAGCAGCCAGGGAAAATGGTAGCTAGCAGCGTGTGGTGGCAATTTTGGCTCTGGCATGTACAAAGCCCTTTGTGAGGCAGAGATTGTACATGTCCAGGGGCACATTTGCAGCTATCGCATTTTAGTTTGCTTTGCAGTCGACTGCATGTGCTCAGTATTTATCCCAGTTCCTGGGATTGTGTGAGTGCATCTTGAATAGACTTTTAATGTGTGAATTTTATGTAAAAAACACAGGGGAGTCGCTTTTATTCTGAATAAGCATTCTTATGGGAGGCTTCCTTCTGTTTAACTAACCTGCTTGAAATCTCGTTAATTCACCTGAGCCCTCCTGACTGTCTTTGTGTACACAAGTTTGCCTAGAATGTAGTCCTGATTAGTTTAAGTATAGATACATTAAAAGTTTTCTTTGAATAGCCTAGGGCATGAGTTTACACTGCCTCAGTCATCCTACATTATCTGTCCATGTTTCCTCTCTTACCCTCTGGCAAATGCAGTGTAACTAATGCCTCCATTACGGAAGGCCAAGCTACCTCACACTTACTGCAGAGCAAGGAGATTTGCCTAAGGGCAGTCCTTATGGACTATCTCATGTGCTGTAAATTCACATCTTGGCTTATCTTAACGTAAATCATGTCAGACTGAACTAACATGTATCTGGCCTAGATCGACGTAAAAGTGTCATGTTTCTGTGCCAGCTTGATTAAACCAATTTTTTAGCACAATTTAAGTGCAGCTTTCTCCTTCGTTCAGGCTAATAAACAGGAGTTTCAGTTTAACTATAGGCATAATTCCTGAAGAAACATGAATCAAACCAAACCAAATCAAACCAAATAATATTTATATTACAATAAGTAAAATCTCTAAGATTTTGGTTATATCAGATATGCTTGTGTAGACAAGGCTTTCACAGTGCATATGTTCTTATATTAATGTAAACCTGGCTTGTATCTGTTTAGCTTTTACCTTTGAGAGAGATTTTAATGGATGAAAGTGTCCAAAGAGACCTCCACAGTCATTCATTTTTTAAAAATGTGATTCAGTTCAATTCTCATACCTAGTTTACATTAAACTCTGGGACATATCCTTGGTAAGAGCTACATGGATACCCTTTTTGGGTGGTTTTGTTTGAACTTTCCTTTGGCTAGAATCAAGCATCGCAAATTTTGCACCCAAACATTTAATCTCCTTACAAGACATGCTCAGCCAGATGGCGGGTCAGAGCATTAATAAACCACTTCCCCTCCTCCTATCTCCAGCATAAGTTGCCAATAGCTTTCCTTGGTGGTCGTTTTAAAGGAGATGAGATCAAGTACACACTGAGTTGTTTATAAAAATAACGAAGAAAAAGAAACACTGACTGCAGCGTTGTTGCAGAACACCAGTTCAGCCCAAGAGGAAATTGTGCTATTTGACTCACTACAAGAAATGGACTCTTACAGTCCCAAGGTCTAGGAAGCAACACAGATATAGATGTAGATGTGTAGATAGATATAGATATAGCCCATGTATGGTGGGGAAATGAGGAAAGAAGTGCTATCTGAAAGACGCTTAGCTGATGTCTGGGAGAAATGGAATGACAGCTACTATGAGCTGACATTGATGTGAACACCAGCTACACAGGAGATGCTGCTGTTCAGGACTGTTTCTAGCCTAATTTATGCCTGCTTGGTACTATGAGGAACAACAGGACTCTCACCATTACCAGGACTCTTGCTCCACCACTAGACTATGGATTGTTTCAGCATTCCCAAAATGCTAGGGTTTGCGCACAAGCTCACCCTCTGAAGCAAGGTAGTATTCTTTACCAGGGACATCTGGGCTGCAGAATTAATGACATCTACTCATTTCTTGAGAATGAGATCCCACATGTGTTCTTTAATGTCCTGTAAGGGATACGCTAACACTGTGTTGTCATGGTTGGTGGGACACTGATGGGTTATTTGTAATCTAGCAAATAAAACAGGCCAGGGTTTGCTGTCCAGTCTTCAGATCAACCTGTGATAGGGATCACACCTATGTAACTAAGCACTACAATCTCCTGAAACGGGGAGGTTTCTGCTCCACGCGTCTCTCCTAACTGCACCCAAGCATTGTTTGGGATGACGCTATCTGACCCGGGGCAAAAACACACCAGGGTCCATTCTTACAGGTTATCATGTACCAATGCTCAGATACATGGCCTAGGCCTCTCATTTATTTAGTATGCAAGTAACTGCAACGTCTCTTTTCTCTTTGCAGTCATGGTAGCTCATGGAAATTGTAAGGTTAATCTAGGAGAAAATTCAAGATGGATTTCTTCAGGAAAGTCAGCATCCTTATTAAACAAATTGATATAGTTGGAAGAAGCATACACAATTTGGGGCACTCGTCCATCCATCACATCTGAAACAGAGGCAGCAGACTTTAGGCTATGTAAAAGGTAGGAAAATTATTGCACTGTTTAACTTAATTGTGTTAACTCTGGAGAAAAGCAGCTTTTTTCCAACAGCCTCAGTAATACCAAACCTTATCAACAGCTATGGCTATATATTTTATCTCCTCTTTACTATCTTATCTCGTGATCAGAATTTATAACAGGCTGAATCTCAACAGCTTGTGCATTGGGACATGTTTGGCAGTACATGTCTAACAGGATTTTTTCCTCCTCATACAAAAGGTCTGCTAAATATTCATGCTTTCACCACTGAAAGAATCATGATTCTTACCCAGATCAAAGCTTGTTAGCAGTCAGAACAGGAGGGCTTCTTCCTCCATGCTGCCCCTCTGATTCCCTCAGGTTTTGTTTCACACCTGGTCTCTGCAAACAGATGCTCTTGAATTCAAATTACTCCATTCTGGAAATGGGTTATAGGCTGAGATGTTGCCCATTCATTGGATTTCTTTCGAAAGATTCTTTTTTAACTTTTCTTTAGAATTTATAGTTTGTGAGAGTTTATTATAGCGTCCAGCACCAACTGTCTAGCAGAGGTAGCTAAAGAACAGCTGTGATTTTTAAAAAGATTAAAACAAAGCATAGATTTTTCTTTAACAGATATCTCATAGAATTGTATTTAATACGAATTAAAAACGCATTATATTTTCTGCAAGAATCAAAAGCATTTGGAACTACCAGGAAATAATTTTGAGATGAAAATGAACAGATTTACAGAAAATTTCTTTTATTTTTTTGTCCCAAATACAGGGAATGTTTTTAATGGATTCAATTTTTCTAGGAAAATGATTCTGCAGTTTGGTTTTCTGCTGAAATCTTTCTCATCCAGCAGTGTATATGAAACGAGTTACTCCATGCAGCCATCCTGCTGTTGCAGGAGGGGACACAGAGCCTCAGGAAGAGGAGGAGTCTGACCTGCTGGGTGCAAGATGCCAGCTGCTGCCCAGGGCCAGGGAAGACATGTGGGGAACAGATAGGGGGGTGTGCTTCCGTGCTGACGGGAGCTGTCATTAGGAGCAGGCTGTTTGCCCCTACTTCTGAAAGGATCATAAGAGAATTCGGGTGGGAAAGGACCTCAGGGCAGCCATGAGGTCAAACTAGCTTGCTCAAGGCTTTGTCCAATGGGAGGTTGAACAACCTTCTCAGGATGGAGACGTCACAACTTCTCTGGGCTGCCTGAACCCTTGCGGGACTGTCCTCAGGGGGAAAAATTTTCTCCTTGTGTCCAGCTTGAATGTCTCTTGTTTCAATCAGTGTCTGTTGTCTCCTGTCCTCCCACCAGGCGCCACAGTGGAGAGCTTCACTCCGTCTTCTTGATACCCTTCCTGTATTTAGTGGGAGCTGCTCTTAGTTCCCCCCTCAAAGCCACCTCTTCTGTGGCTGAACTGGCCCAGCTTTCACAGGGCAACGGCTCCAGCCCCAACCAGCATAGGGGTCCTCAGCTGAACTTGCTCCAGTTTATCATCTTTCCTGCACTGGCAGGCCCCAAAATGGGCACAGTATCTACCAAGTGCTGAGAAACTGTCTGCTAAGTCATGGACCTGTGCTGATGAGCCTGTTCTGGTCTGAGCTGTCAGAGATGTCACTCTGCCCCCTGCTCGCTCTGCCCCTGTGTCAATGGCTGCTGCTTGTAGGAGTCAGCAGAGGGAAACATACACCTGCCCTTCAGCTGCTCCCGTGCAAAGCAGGCTTGAGAAATAACACTAACGTGGAGCAGCAGAAAGTCAGACACACGGTCTCCTCAGCTCCCCCTACTATGGAGGGTAGTAAGCTCCAGTGGACAGGAGCGCTGGAAAACAGCAGCTCTCATATCAAATTTT